TCCAGCATGTTGACTGCACCACACAGCTTGGTGTCATTGGCAAACTTGCTGAGGGTGCACTCAATCCCCGTGTGACGGACAAAGACGTTAAACAGCACCGGTCCCAATACCAACCCCTGAGGAACACCACTCGTCACCAGTCTCCACTTGGACGTTGAGCCATTGGCTGCAACTCTTTGAGCGTGACCGTCTGCCCAATTCCTTACCCACTGAGTGGTCCATCCATCAAATCCGTGTTTCTCCAATTTGGAGACAAGGATGTTGTGCAGGACAGTGTCAAAAGCTTTGCACAAGTCCAGGTAGCTGACGTCCATTGCTCTTCCCTTATCCACCAACGCTGTCACCCCATCATAGAAGGTCACCAAATTTGTCAGGCATGATTTGGCCTTAGTGAAGCCGTGTTGGCTGTCACCAGTCACCTCCTTATTTTCCATGTGCCTTAGCACAGTTTCCAGGAGGATCCCCTCCATGATCTTGCCAGGCACAGTGGCCAGGCTGAGTGGCCTGTAGTTCCCCAGGTCTTCCTTTTTTACCTTTTTAAAAATAGGTCTTATGTTTCCCCTTTCCCAGTCAGCGGGAACGTCACCAGACTGCCATGACTTCTCACATATGATGGATAGTGGCTTGGCATCGGCCAGTTCCCTCAGGACCCTCAGACACACCTCATCAGGTCCCATGGACTTGTGCCCCTTCAGGTTCCTCAGATGGTCTCAAACCTGATCTCCTGCAGCGGGCGGTTCTTCATTCTCCCAGTCCCTGCCTTTGCCTTCTGCTACTTGGGTGGTGTGGCTGGAGCACTTGCTGGTGAGGACTGAGGCAAAAACCCATTGAGTACCTCAGCCTTCTCCATGGCCCAGGTAACCAGGTCTCCCGTTTCCTTCTGAAAAGGGCCCACATTTTCCCTAGTCTTCCTTTTATCACTGATACACGTATATAGAAGCTTTTCTTCTTGTCCTTGACACCCCTGGCCAGATTTAATTCTGTCAGGGCTTTAGCTTTCCTAACCTCATCCCTGGCTGCTTGGATTTTAAGTGTTTGTTCAGTCAACAGAATTAATCCCCCAAAACAGGAGCATAGGAAGCTGCTACAGGCCTATCTATAGTTTAACAAAATGAATGTATAAAAAGCTGGTGAATTAAGGCAGAACAGGATAGATTTAAGGGATGGGTCTTCAGAGCTGCTCTTCCCATAGGGGGATATCTTTTTCATCTAACCACTTTATCTTCCAGCCTGAGGAAAGGGAGAGTAGAATATAAACTGATAGGTAGTTTTGCCTTGGGAGCACTTTTATCTTGTTTGGGCTCTAGCAATCCAGGTTGGTTGTTTCTACTGTGGAGTTACATGGTTTGTCTGAAATTACTGTACTGCATCTGTTCAATAGAATGAATCTCATAAAGAAATTAGTTACTTTATTACTTGACGGTCAGTATATAATGTAATTACATCTTATCTGCATCTAATTGGAGACTAGTTCAAAAGAGAGAATCTTAAATTTTCTTTTTTAAAAAGTAGTTTTAAAAATGTACGCAGTCATTTTAAAAGCACCTCATTCTTGCAGCACCCTAAGTCACAAGAAACTCATTTGATCTTCATGAAGTTATTCTGGATTTTCAGTTTTCATAGTAGGATATGTTCCTTGTAACTTCAGCTTTACAGATATGATCGTGTGTAACAAGGTCCATGTAGTTACACAGAACAACACAGTTGGAATATGTTCTTTTTCTAACCGTGGAAATACAACCTTTTTTTTTTAACTCAACAGATGCTAAGCAAATTTGTCAGTATTAATAACTAAGACTTTTTCTCTCCAATTTATGCAGAGAAACAGTGCTTGTCAATCTCATGAAGAAATCAAAGAAAACGTATGACTCCTTTCAAGATGAATTAATGGATTACAGTAAAGTTCAGAAAGCTAGAGGCATAGAGCAAAGAAGGTATTTAGGAAGAGCAGAAGAGGAAGAGTTTCAAGATAAAAACATTGAAGGAGGAAGTGACCTTGGTAAGGTTTTATCTTCAAACTTTCAGTGTGAACAAGGCCAGCATTCCAGCCAGTCACCTACAAATACTGGGGAAAATAGATCACCAAGCTGGCCACCAGCTTGTGAGCCTGCACTAGAAAAGACACCTAATTGTCACTATAACAAGGGATGCTGTAAAGAAGAGCAAGCATCTGAGGTAGCCACCATTAGAGAGAGGAGCTTCAGCCTATTGGTTGCAGAATCTAAAGACTGCTTTGAACTTAGGCTTGCTGGAACTTCTACCAGCTCCTACAGAAAAGAACAGAAATTTCAGTTAAAACATTTTGAGGAGGAAAAATTTATCAGTGAAGAGCTGAAGTTTGAGAAAGAAGCCACAAAACAGAAAAGAAAGAAAAATAGTGAAGGTGCAGATTTTGGAAAAGAAAATGAGAAGCAAAAGAGAATTAAATTTGAGGTAGACTTGGTAAATGAGAAGAAATCAATACCTTATAAAAATAAAAGACTTAAAGAAAACCCTGCTGAGAAAGAGAGCAAAAAGCACAAAAAGGGTAAAAAGAAGCCACAGACAGATAACAGAAAAGAAGAGGAGCTACTTTGGGATGAATCTGTCTTGGGATGTTGATAAAGATTTTGCTTAGCTTTAAGAAGTTGATTCTGTCTGTAGACTCACTTAACCATTTTGTACTATAATATGACTTTTTTTAAGCAAAGTTTTTGTTCCAATCTGGAATCAAGAAAAAGCCTGTTTTCTTAAATTTTTGGGAAGTAGGTAGGCATCAGTTCTTAACCATCTTACACATACAGCAGCCATTGCAGTGATGCAAGTTTGAAAGTTTGTAATCTCTTCTGGAATATAACACAAATAAGGGTCAGTAGCTTACAGAATACTGTTTGAATTTCACCAAAATGCATAGCTTCTTTCTAATACTAATGGTGCCTATTATTGAGGTTTCTATTATTCTTCTAGGAAAGGACATAAACTCTTAAGATAAATAAGGGCCCTTTAGTGTTCCTGGCCACATCTGTAAACATTTCTCTGACAGATTTAAAAAGAGAATGTGAAAGGCTTTTGATTCCAAATCTTATTTGCTATTGGAGTTTTTTTGTTTTTTTTCTGGTTTTGGTTTTTTGTCACCCAGTTCTGAGTGGAAAATGAGTCTATTAAACATTGTAACTGGTTGTCAGATATATGTTGTCTAGTAATGTTTTCTCATTGTAATCCTGATTTTTAGTTTAATTTAGGAAACACAGAAAAGGTGCAATATGCAAAATTAGTTGCTAACATGAGGCTACGTTCTGCTTCATTCACTCAAAGTAAGGTACAGAAGGAGTGTTAGAATGAAGCTAGATTTGTGATCCAGAAAATACCCTGAAAAATCAGTGACAGCTTTGTATTTCCATTTTAAATGTTGTGTCACCAGACATTCATTTACAATATGGATTTACATTATTTTGGCATGAGCACTGATGTCCTATATATGTGCAATTAATTGAGAAACTCAGACGATGGGGTTCAAGCTCTTGCGTTGCTCCCAGGACTCTCGGATGAGACCTTCAGTAAGCCATGGACACTGGAAGCACATCAGTCTCTACAGGGCGGGGGGCAGGCAGGCAGGCTGCCCAAGAGAAAGAGGGGAACTGCATTGTCTGCCTCCTGCACGGTGCAGAGCTGGGGTTGCGTGGAGGATTTGAAGCTTGTGTCATGTTTTACTGAAAGCTGCTGGACTTAGTAAATACAGCTGAATTCTAAAAAGTGATCATTTAAAAAGCAGTTTCATAAGATACCATTTAGTATCTCTCATTGCCTTCAGGTTGCAAGAAAGCTTTTTCTGAGCCTTGATGTGGGACCTGAAAGCCATCACGCTGTTGGTTTACACCACTCAGACTGCGCTTTTCACTGGGTTAGTCTGTTTGTAGAGCCACCTGTGCTGAGCTGCTGCTCTCAGTAAATCTGCCCAACTGAAACTTTCTGTTGTGGGTTGTTGTGGTGTGGGATGGAGTAGAGACCAGGGCCTTCAAGCGTTGAATTCTGTCTGATTTGTCTTAGTTTTAGTTTTGCGAGTATAAGTAGTAGGTTGGAAAGCCCTGAAAATAATGTAGTCTGCTCTATTTTTTTAAGGATTGGTGTTTTGTGGTTGACTGCAATCTTGGATTTAGAATTTCCTGCTGATGATAAAGTTATAAATCTTAAGTAGTTAGCATCTGAGCTGTCAAATAGCTTAGTCCATCTTCTAACAGACAAGCTTAACTAGTTGCATGTACAACTAAAAGTTGAGCAGGAGCATGTAGGTGCCAATAACAACTCATTGGTCAGGAGTCTCAGGAACCTGAACTCAGAGGTCCATGGGGATTCAGCTTTAAGTTCAAAGTGTATATAGGGTCCTTGTTCTGGTCCCCTTTCCTAATCTCTCCTGGTCTCTGAGGCTGATAATGCCTCTGCTTTCTTCAGTGGCTCTTTTTAGTTGCTCAGGAGTTACATACCTTTCTGTATGTTTCCAAGGAGTCTTTTCCTGGCTTTCCTTAGCCCTTGCTCATCTGATGGAGTCTAAAGTCACACACTAATAACTACTTTTCTCATTATTTACTTCGGCAGAGAGTGGGTTCAATCATAATTTACTTATGCTAACTGTTGATGACAGTTGTGAGCTGTTGTAAGCTGCCAACTGCAGACTGCTTGTATTGACCTACAGTGTAACCAGGGAGGTTTTCAAGCACTCTTTCCTATATATACTCTTTGCTGTGAGAATAACATGGGCAACACTGCAGCTTCTCTCCCATGTAAGACAAATAATGACTTCTCTCAGGACACCTAGTTCAGCAAACTAGGCATTGTAAGATCTCTTTGATATTTGTGCCACTGTCAAACAGGGCTGTGCAAATAAGGCTAGTGTCTTTCACAGTTACTAGTAGGGAACCCTTGCTCCATATGGTCACGTATGCCTCCTTTCCTTAGGGAGTCAGTCTAAGAAAACAATTAGACCTCCAGCAGATGGAAAGGCCACAATGTAGTACTCCACTTCTACACAAGGAACAGACTAATTGAAGGGAAATAAGTGCCAATTTACTTGCTTTTGAAATAAGAGTTGCACTTTTGGAAGTCAGGAGATTAATAGCTCTGAAAATATGGTAAAAGCATGAGTTGACAGAACAAGAAGATGTTATTGTTTTTTTCAGTGATCATTCCCAAATCTGTACTTGAACTCCACGCTCTCCTCGCCCATCTACTGGAAAGTGGTTGCACAGACTACGTAGAATAGCTCTAAACAAAGTTTCTTGATATCAAATGTGAAAGATAAGATCCCAAAAGAAGTGTTCTTGCCACATGTTGGTGAAAAAATTATTAATCTGTGATGTAAATGCTGTGAATGAGACAGCAGATTCTCATCTGGCAGAAGTGACTCACAGCTCTAATTCAGGTAAGTGATATCCTATTTTCTAAGGTCATAAATAATAATTATTGTTCATGTGTTTCCTGATTGCCTTGTTCCTAGCCTTTCATATTTGTGCCAATAGTTATCTACATGCTAGACACTTTGAAATGCTAGGCACAGAGCTCAATGACTTTATTTACCTTTTACTGTAAATATGTCTTTTTTTCATTTCTTAGTAGCAAAGGAATCCACACTGTGTGTAGTGGAAGCTAATTCTGCTCATCTGTTCCTCGTTAAAACTACTAAAACAGTACAGTTCTAATTTGAGAAACAAACTAAGTCACAGATCTTTCTGTCACATCGGAGCAGAAAGACTTGCAGATCTGCATGGAGACCCCTTGGAGTCAGTGGTGTTTTATGCACGTATGAGGGTTCCTCTGTGAAGGCCTAACAGCACTAAATTTGACCTGTCTCTTTCAGTAAACTTGCTTGCTGCTTGGCCTTATGAAAGAACTGCCGTATATCAAAAAGGCAAGTTAAAACTGTGTACATGTAGCAGAGCAGAAAAACAAGGTTAAAAATGCTGTTTTAAACTCACCTTAAGTGAAGACTCCTGCATTTCAATTTTGGCTCTGTCCCTGGTTCACCAGGTCACCTGGATCAAGTACTTAATTCTTCCAAGGCCTCTTTTTTTCATCTATAAATGCTGCAGAAGGGTACTGTGGCAGCTTTATCCTGCCCATGCTCTGCCCCTGAAGCAGACTGCTGCTGCCAGTTTCCCCTCCTTTCTCCTGAAGGATACCATCCCTGGGACATCCTTGTGTCCCTGCATCTGCCATTCTCATTCACAGGCAAACAGATCAGCTTAAACTCTCCATAAGGGCATGCAAAATACTGTCACTTTTTTATAGTTTGTTTTCCTTTTTGTGACTTTTTATACTTTGGTTTCGTGACTGGCTGCAGTATGTGAAAAATTTGTAGCGAGATCCTAGTGCAAGGTCTGTCTGAAAAAGGCCACAAATGGAACAGGACATCTCTTTCTGCATCCTGTGAAGTGAGCAGAAAGTTGTTTTCATGGTGGAAGGTTCTCATTTGAAATCTTGCAACAAAAGGGAGAAGCACTAAAGTCACCGTGTGCATGCCTTGGACTCAGGCTGTGGTTTCAGTGGGGCACACTGGGAACGCTAACACGTGGGAAGTTAACCCCACCACTGGCCTATGAGACATATCCTTGTCATATCTAACCTGCTAACTTGTCCAGGCATATTTCCATAAAGGTTGAGAGGCATTCAACTGAAATCAGTGTAAATCACCTGAATGCAACGCCTTGAGCTGCATCTCAAATTTACCACGTATCTGTGGAATCAGATTACAGTGTAAAACAGTTGTTTGAGCTAGTTAAGAGGACTATTACAGCTTAATTAAATTAAGGTCTTTTTTTCAGCATATCGCTCTTGGCCAGCACTGCCATCCAACAACATGGAAGCTGACAGTGTGCTTAACGGCTGTATTTATCAGCCAGAACACCAAGATGAAAGCACCAGGGTTAGGACTGAAAGATTTGGATTCTCTTTCCAGCCTTTCCACAAGCTTCTCCTGTGATTTACAGCTTGCCAGGAATGTGGTGCCAGATGAGCTCTTCCAGCTGCAGCTTTTTTAACCTTAACATGTTATAGCTGCTGGTTCTTCACATCCACTGGTGGAAATGACCTGAGGGAGGAGGTTACAGCCCTGTCAGCTCTGTTGGTGTCTTCCTAGCTGTACCTGTTTCCTATCCTGCTTATATTTTCAGAGTGAGGTGGTGAGCAGCTAGGCATAGTATCTTTTTAACCCTGACCAGCTGTAGCAGTTCTTGACTGTACCCTTGAACTGGGGATGAACGCAGGTATCACAAAAACAGGTCACAAAAAGTTAATAAGAAACCATGAATAAGTACAGCGCCATAAATCTTTCTGTGGGAAAGCTTTGGAAAAAGAGCAAGTGTTTCTCATCTCTAAATAAGCTACTGTCCTTTATTTCAAAGAGCTTGATTTACAGTTGAAAGCAATGAAGTGCTATTTCAACCAGTTATTTCTGGCAGAGCAAAAGTTTAAGCATTGATTCCTGTTGAACTTTAAGAAAATTCTGTTTTGATTTCAGAGAGCTACAGCAAACTGCCTGCCCAGCTTTGCTCCTAGGTGTGCACTGGCAATCACTCCTGCTCCAAGGTGGAAGGCTGGGTGCAGGCATAAATCTCAATTTCCACAAGTGA